ATTGTTAACAACCGATTCGTGGAGGTCATTAAATTCTAAGAACAGGTTCGCACGAACCGGCTGAATCCCACCACTGCCATTTGGTTTTATCTAAACAATAACCCTATCCAAGCCTTATTCTATCTAATCCTGTTTGGTTTTATCTAAACAATAACCCTATCCAAGCCTTATTCTATCTAAGCCTATTTGTTCTTATCTAAACAATAACCCGATACAAGCCTTATTCTATCTAAGCCTATTTGATCGTACCTAAACAATAACCCTATCCAAACCTTAATTCTAATTAATCCCATTTGGTCTTACCTAAACAATAACCCTATCCAAACTTTAATTCTATCTTATCCCATTTGGTCTTACCTAAACGATAACCCTATCCAAACTTAATTCTATCATATCCCATTTGGTCTTATCTAGACAATAACCCTGCCAAAGCCTTAATTCTAACTAATCTCATATGATATTATATAAAATGATAACTCCATCTAAATCTTAATTCTGTTAATTTTCTTTTGGCACTTCCTAAATAATTATTATTATTTTTCTCTTTTTTGCATGTTATTTACATATCTAGGTTATATATATATTTTTTTACTCTGTCAAATATCTATATCAAATTATTACTTTTAAAACCCGCTATGATAACGGAAGACGTACCCACAATAAATTTGTCTTGGTCTTCTTAAACGTGTGTTCAAACATATAGGTATATGTAGCTTACAATTCACACATAAAACACAAGAAAAGTACAATTTATGGACATATACATTAGTTATTCAAGTTTAATAACATCTATTTTCAAAAGCCTTAAGTGACTGTAAGCTGACCTGTAAAGAATACCCATTTCAAATTTTAAAGTCACGTAGTAAGTATCGTCTCTTAACTTTCAGCGTCAAATATCGTACAAAGTAAAATTTCTAGTGGATTAGTATATGCTTCCCTATCGTTTTACCACAGATAGATACTGTATTACTATTTAGGACTCCATCCAATTTTTCTGCTGCTTTCTGTATGAGTAACTTGTTATTTTACGTTTTCCTTGGAGGAATTCCTGAAATAGCAACTGCGGGAATTCACAGAAGTCACAAGATGGAAGATTCTCAACACACCTTTTAGCCAATAAGATCGTTTTTTTGTCGCCTCTGAAATACCTGTGTTCGTTAATCACTTCCTCCTCGAGAAGGTAAGATGATTTAATCAAATACAAACAAACTTATATTGGTGTGTGTATCGTGATCTTTGTTAGCTAATCAACGTGTACTTGGTGTGTGTGTGTGTGTAACGTGATCTTTGTTAGCTAATCAACGTGTACTTGGTGTGTGTGTGTAACGTGATCTTTGTTAGCTAATCAACGTGTACTTGGTGTGTGTGTGTAACGTGATCTTTGTTAACTGATCAACGTGTACTTGCTGTGTGTAACGTGATCTTTGTTAACTGATCAACGTGTACTTGCTGTGTGTAATGTGATCTTTGTTAACTGATCAATGTGTACTTGGTGTGTATATCGTGATCTTTGTTAGATGATCAATGTGTACTTGGTGTGTGTATCGTGATCTTTGTTAGGTGATCAATGTGTACTTGGTGTGTGTATCGTGGTCTTTGTTAGGTGATCAATGTGTACTTGGTGTGTGTATCGTGGTCTTTGTTAGCTGATCATTGTGTATTTGGTGTGTATGTATCTTGATCTTTATTTGCTAATCATTGTGTATTTGGTGTGTAAAACGTGTTCTTAGCTCGCTAAACAATATGTATTTGCTGTGTAAACTATTAAGGTCAATAATCAAAGCCTAATTATTAATGGTTAATAAGTAGGCATAAGTGACAGAATTATTAATGGTTCCTAATTATTAACCATTAATAATTCTGTCACTTAAGCCTAATTATTAACCATTAATAATCATGTCACTTAAGCCCAATTATTAACTATTAATAATCTTGTCACTTAAATCTAATTATTAACCATTAATAATCTTGTCACTTAAGCCTAATTATTAACCATTAATAATTCTGTCACTTAAGCCTAATTATTATTTAAGTGACAAGATTATTAATAGTTAATAATTGGGCTTAAGTGACATGATTATTAATGGTTAATAATTAGGCTTAAGTGACAGAATTATTAATGGTTAATAATGAGGCTTAAGTGACAGTATTATTTTTATTAACTCTGACAACGAAAAACAAGTTCTGTTTTTGCAATTAAAATATTGTTTTTGAGTAAACAAGAAATGATTATAACATAGTAAAATTATTGTTATTTTTGAAAGTTAAAATACACTCTTCAATCCCATTGATTACTAGTCAATTAGTCTTTCAACAGTGTAGCAGAATGATAATGCTGTTTCTGGGTGTTACAAACACACCAAACATACATAATACTCATTAATATAGATATTGTTTTATTGTTAAACGGAAGGATATTGTTGTTTCTGAGTGTTGATTAGTGTTAGCTGCAAGAAATGACAAGATACTAAAAAAGTTTAGATCTGATGTAAGTACTAACATTTACATCCAAAATGACATCTAAATAATAATTGATAAATGAGTTACTCTAAACTTGACGATATTTTAAACTTTTCTATGATGTAATTATTAAGGTATTGACGATTTTAACGCTACTATAATGTTTATAATAAATTTTAAAATAGATTTGGCATAATGTGTAGTAGGTAGTTTCTCGGTAAAACTACGTTACCAGCGGTCTTAGGCGAGCTGAGACAATATTATTATCTGAAAACAATATATTTCTCCTTATTACTTGACTTGATGACAAGTTTCTCACCGTTAATACGACTAGAACCCGCTTCTTGCGGTCCATCAAGTCTTCGTGTGCAGAGAACAGTGTGACGCTTCCCAAAATGGTAACGGGGATATTTGAAGAGAAACTTGAGCTGAGCCTTAAACACGGGATGGAGGACTTGACGTATGAGACCTAAAGAGGAGGTTTAATTTGCTTCTACTCCGTGGCCCTTTACAACTTGTGGCTCTCGCAACGCCCACTGCATACACATACACACAGACAGACTAACAAATCTTGTGAATTTTCCAGCTTCTTCATCAGACCGTGGTCTGGTAAAGGTGGAGATCATTCACTCTTTGGGATCCGACGAGCAAGGAGCTCGGTTCTGTAGTATACTTCCTGCGGCACTTTAGGCCTAACAGTAGTATCGGTGAATCAAGATGTCCAGCAAGACAACATATTACTCGTACAAGAGTTCGTCTGGTGGAGGAGGGGGCGACTATTCTCTTGAGTATGGAACGGACATTGGGGCTATGACTCGTCTAGAGGTAGGCTAGCTTGTCCAGATTTAACAACTAAAATTTAAATCCTTTAATAAAAGTATTTTGATCTATAACTATTCTGTTAAATACAATCACTTGTGTTAGGTAGGATGTGACTGGACCATCGAAAGGTAAGTCATTTCTGTCAGAGACTCTAATTGATGATATTTATATATATATATATACAAAGATTTTTTTTTCAAATACAAAAATTTGTATTGTTATATAGCTTTACACGCCGAGTTTTATATAATTTTAATCTTTTATAATTTAATTTTCAAACTAGCTGGAGTTCAAGAAGCGTGGAAGAAAAATTGGATTATTGTTGATTTTGTAAATCACTATTAACAGCTACGAATGATCTTAACAAAAATGTTAATTTAAAACCAATATAATTCGTGAGAGTTACAAATGTACTTTCCTGAATTTATGGTTTGAGCAAAGAAAACATTTTCCCCACGGTACTAAAAGCAGGTTTAATCCTTGCTGTGAACTAGATAAATATTTCCCAATGCTATGGAAGCAGATTTCCCTTTCCCTTCGCCATTTTCAATCGAAGTTCATTAGAAATCTCCTCTAACCTACTGGAACTCTCACTTAAAAGTCGATAATAAATATTTCAGGTTTGATCGTTTTAAAGGACGAGAAAAATTATTACAAAGGGGGTGATCCTTGTTATCTATCTACTGGTGTTCCATAAATCAGGAATATCCAGAATCACTGTGTTAAGGGAATGCTTCTCTTGAAGGACTGATTGGGTTTCACCCTCGGAAACCGAAACGACAAAGAATCTCAATAATTATTAGTCCAAAAATATTTTGTTTACTGTTAGGAAACTGGTAGTCAGGTTTAGTTAATAGGAAATTATTTTCTGTTCCTTGTTCTTCACACTTACTAGACTGTATAATAGTTAGCAAATATTATCATCCAACCTCTGGACACTTATGTCAAAAAATATTAATTGAATGAAAAATGCACTGAAACCAAACACGGGCTTAGGGTCAAACGTTAGAATGTCAGAGGAAGAAATGGGACAATGTGCTAAGGACTTTCCAAAACTATCTTGGGCTATGTGAAAAGTTTGGAGACTTCGTAAAAAAGTAGTGATCAGTAGAAGTTGAAGGAAAAGTGTACAAAACCAAAACGTTGTGATGTGTTGGTAATAATATGTATGGTTGCATGAACGAAAAGTATTGTCGAAATCACGAAGAAAGGAACAGTAATGGAACATCCTATTGGATGAAGTGTTGATTACCACGGCTGTAACGGAACATCCTATTGGATGAAATGTTGATTACCACGGCTGTAACGGAACATCCTATTGGATGAATTGTTAGCTTTAGGCATCACTAACTCTAAGAAACACATAAATGTTTCTGTTGGTTGTGTTGTTGTTTTTTTAAATAAAATTATTATAAAAAACAACTGTGCACTCGAAATAAAAACTGCGTATGTTTATGTGTTGACATTTCACTCCGCCAGGTTTTTATTATATAGAGATAGATAAACAAGAGCAGGTCGGAACCATAGCCGAAATTAACCCTAAAAAAAAAAGGAAACTGAACGTGCATTAAGATCTTTGAATGCAGCTCATCTGCTAGATGGCGTCGCGGATCTAAGAGTAAGAAAATCGGATTCTACGACTTATAGTTTTTAGTGAATTGTATAAAATAACTGAGGACAGATTAAGTTACAAGATGAGTTACTAATTATCATAAGGAGTTCGCTAAGTAAAAGACTTCACGTGTTTTTTTTTATGTTATTTCATTCATTTCCCAGTGAAGAAACTGGCTTTCCAATAGAGGGTTGCGTCCTCTCTCTTCGGCCAAGAGAAATAACAAAATGTAGGAAGTTGTGGAGGTATGAATGAGTAGGTGTAAAAAAAAATATTTGTAGAAGAGACAAAATTGAAAAACAACTGGACAGTAATGATAGCACCAAAGGTCAAATATGTAGAAAGTAGCAAATGTCATTGAAAACTAAGATGGATAAATATAAGATGGCAGAAGTGATATCGGGGCAACATCAAAATGTAGATCATCCACTGGAAGAGACACCTGGTGGATGTTATAGGGATGCTCACCAAGTGAAACTAGCTTCCGAGTGGATTTACAAACAAATTAAACAAAATTATCTACAAGTGATCATAGTTATGACCAGGGTTTTATTATGTAAAGAACTTACAGGTTTGGATTTATAGTCCTGTACTCTCGACAAATTACTTAAAATACTTTACATGTTTGAATAACATGAGACGTGACAATTAATTATTTGTTATTATTTAGCTAGTAATTTACTTATGAAGTTCTCTTTTCTTTCTCAAAACCGAAAAGAGAGAATTCATCAATGACGTAGGACCCATTTTATTCTTTGCTTCTCATTAGTTTCTCGTACTATTCTCAAAGAATAAATTGATGAATTTCTTCTTTTCTTCACTAAAATTTTGGTGAAAAAAAATTCTAAAATAAATAACCAGCTAGTTCCCTAAATAATAACGAATAATTAATTGTGACATCGCATGTTATTCGGATATATAAAGTGTTCCAGGTTATCTATGGTGACGCGAAGGACTACACATCAAGGACTACAAACTGTTTATATTCCACAACAGTATAATAAGACCTAATGCAGTTAGTTACTTGGATCCAGAGTTTACTTTTCCTGGTCGAAAAGAGGGGGTGCAACCCTCTGTTTGCTCGTCAGCTTCCTTTCCCATGACTGAAATGAAATGAATTAATAAAATTCGGATATCTTAACCGTTGCTTATAACCTTCGTGTTTCATTCTTCCGTTTACGTTCTTTGTCTAAAAAGGAACACAACTCTCTTCTGGCTCGTCAGCCAACTTGGGCAAGAATGAAATACGTGAAAGTAAATGAGTACACGTAGTCATATTAAGGGGATTACTAAGTAAATGAATACACGTAGTTATATTAAGGGGATTACTAAGTAAATGAATACACATAGTTATATTAAGAGGATTACTAAGTAAGGGAGTACACGTAGTCACGTAGTTATATTAAGGGGATTACTAAGTAAAGGAGTACACGTAGTCACGTAGTTATATTCAGGGGATTACTAAGTAAATGAATACACGTAGTCACGTAGTTATATTAAGGGGATTACTAAGTAAATGAATACACGTAGTTATATTAAGGGGATTACTAAGTGAAGGAGTACACGTAGTCACGTAGTTATATTAAGGGTTTTATTACGTTTATTAGGAAACATTGTTCTATAAACTTTAATGTATTCTATTTCAAATTTGTTGAATTAATTAATTATATCTGGAACGTTTTGTTGTTGTTGTGCTAAGAATAAACAACAGAGGAATCCACTATTCGTTACTCTCCAACTGCAATGGGTTTAGGCCTCACCATAAGGGCGGTGTCCTTGTCCTCAGAAAAGTTCTGGCACCTCTACTGAGATATTTACAATGTGTATGTAGTCTGTCGAAAATGGAAGGAAAGCGGGGAGCTCGAGCTTGTTACCTTGCTCGATCGGTGTAATGGGATGTTATTCACAGCAGTTATTGGCAATGAGCCAAGGAAAGCTTCTAAGGTCTTGGGTGCCATTTTGGAAATGGGTTATCTTGTCATACCGTTTGTGCGTGCGGCTAAATATGGCCACGAGACATTACAGTGTAGAATTTCTGACTAGGCTTATCGCTCTTTCAACGGTGAGGTTTTCTTGTCAATAATCACCATCCCTTCCGTTCTTGACAGGGAAAACTATCTGCCAAAACTGTTCTATCTTTAAAATGATTTTTTTTGTCGTCGTTTTTTGTCATATGCCCAGAACGTTTCGTTTTTTGCGCAGACCAAGCATTTTAAGTAATGAATCTATAATCAGACTTTGGATTCTAACATTTTGGAACATTAAGTTGGCCTTAAGGCCGTAAGTGACACATCCAAACTCACACTTTCCTCTTAAACTTATACCAAACATCATTTGGCATAACTCAGTCAATTGGCATGTCTTCCGTACATACCATACCAAATTTAGCATAGCAGGTCTACGATAGCTCGTGTACTGCAGCTTATCTAAATGGTTGCTTCTGTAGATATTCCATACGTATTCCAGTTTTCTGTGGCAGCACAACAAATCGGCTGTTTTCAAAGTTTGACTCCGAAATTTTCGGCTAGAACTGACAAACAATAATTCTGTCTGAACTGTAATAATCTATAGTTTACACTAATAACCTAATTTATCAGAGTTTTTCATAAGGATTTATTTTCAACTACACATTTATATTTTAACTTCGTTATTTAACACATGACGCCTTATTGCACCTCATATATATAGGCCTAGTAACAAATTATCCAAAAAATGAGGAATATTCTAATGAATACATTTATTTATGAACCCTGGAGTGGAATTTTATAATTTTGAATATGTTTTTAATGTTAATCCACTTGAACTTACTTATATAGGTGAATTTTCGACTGCACAAGTATTTTTAAAGGGGGCGTTAAAAGTAAAATGTGTTTGAGGCCTAATGCTGAAATTAATAAAAAAAATTTGGAATATGCACATAAAGGAGGAAAGTACAGAATAATACTTCCCAGGAAGAGGCTTACAGTTAGAGTGTCATAAAACAGGTAAAATACACAAGCGAAACTAGTGACTTGTTTTTTTACCTTAATGTTTTTATCTTATCTCTACCACATTCATCTGTCCAATACAAGTTGGGGAAATCTTAAACCTCTCGAAATTTATTAGGCGAAGTTAGTGTTAAGCCCGATGTATTGGAGATTGGGTCCTGGTCCTACCTGTTCCGACCCCTGTGTTTGTTAACTGAATTAATGTACAATTCTGAACTATTTTGTTCTGGTAATCGTACTAACAGCCACTTTACCTCAAAACCTCTAAGTACGACTTTTGTGTTGCGAAAATAGGAACGATGACTACGTATAAACAACATCGTAAGCATAAGGAATCATTTCTGCATTTTTGGAAATTTTTCCCACGCACGGATTCTGCGTTGTTGGGTTACATGTTGGGTCCCATGGAAACACTTTATATATGTATATATTACACGTGAAGATAAGGCAATAGTAAATGTTAATTATATATGTATGTAATCCCGATTATTGAACCTACAAATATATATATATATATGGATAAGTTCAACTTTCAAGATTATGCAACTGTTTAGTTTGTTCTATTTGTCAATCGTTTAACAAATTTAGTAACAGAAAATATTTTATAAAACATTGTTAGGTCACCTCACCTAAATAACCAGGTCACCAGAATGTTGCCCTGCAAACTACCTGACCAACATAGTAAAGTCACCAGAATGTTGCCCTGTAAACCAACTAGACCAACGTAGTTAAGTCACGAGAATGTTGCTCTGTAAACCACCTGGTCAACATAATTAAGTCACCTGAATGTTGCCCTGTAAACCACTAGACCAACGTAGTTAAGTCACCAGAATGTTGCTCTGTAAACCACCTGGTCAACATAATTAAGTCACCTGAATGTTGCCCTGTAAACCACTAGACCAACGTAGTTAAGTCACCAGAATGTTGCTCTGTAAACCACCTGGTCAACATAATTAAGTCACCTGAAT